TTTCCTGAAGCGTCTGGGAAAGTTGTCTGAATTTGATTATTTCCTTATAACTATATTCAGGTTAAACATTTATAATCAGGAATATGCTGTAACTGTTGTTACGTGTTTATTGCAACACAATAAATGCTATCATGTGAGCTTGTTCCAGCATTGGTCCAGGTGCTGACTGCCAAGTCTCTCCTCTATAAAAGTATGTTGTCCCCAACAGAGCTTAACTTACTTAAAAGGTAATACTTCCAGACTGGTTCTAATAAATTTAAAATACTTGTTAGCAGCAGCTATTGTTTCTTGCGTAAATAATCCCTGCACGAAGAATTGTAAAATGACCTTTCTAACTTTCTTTCTCCTGACCTCCTGCCTGCCTACTCTTCCCTGTTTTTACAATGTAACCATAATCTATTAAGATGTAAATGTTTTCCAGCATGAACTCTAACCATGCTATCATTAGTCATACTTAAATCAATGTCCACACTGTTTCAGATTGGACAGTAGGTGTTCCTTTAAGACAACTTGTACAATTTTTTAATAGTCATGATATTTTGTTTCTTGTCTTTTCTAAGAAACTTTCATCTATAAAAAGATTGTGAAAGTATTCTTCTCATGTTCTAATAGATACATAGATAGAAATTCTTTGTTATTTCAATTAGTATAAAAGTACTCAGTTTTTGTATACATTTGCATTTATTGCTGATCCTCCTCTCCTGTCCCCTTCTTCCAGCTCCTATTGTCACTCTCATGCTTTATATTCTTATTATTTATGCTTGGATCCATAATCTTAACTTAGTTTTTTACATGATGTAAGTTAGAGGTTGAAATTCTTTTTTTTCTCCAATTTTTATATGGTTGTTTTATCATACTTTTCTGAAAACATGCTTTATTTCTCCATTTGATTGTTTTGATATCTTCATCAAAAGCCAAATGCCCATATACATGTGGATCTACTTGAGGCCCAACTATATGCCATGATCGATTCATTTATCCTTAATCTAGTGGTGTGCTTTATTATTATTATTATTACTGAAGCTTATGGAAAACCTTTAAGATACTTAGCCTTCTAGTTTTGTTCTTTTTCAAGATTGGCTGGGGCATTCTTATCTTTGTATCTCTTCTTTTTTAAACTTAAAAAACTATATATATATAATGTTTTTTAGATTAACAGAACTACATCATATACCGTTCCCTTCCTTCCTATAAATCCTCCAATATACTCCTTGCTCTTTTTCAAATTTATGATCTCTTTTTTATTACTTGCTGTTATATATTTATATTTGCATATACTACATAAAATTCTAAATACATAAACACACACATAAGCACTCATATTTCTAAATATACAAACACAAGCTGGTGCTTGTGTTTTACTAGATATATAATATTACTTATATGTTTGTTTTCAGGGGTGATTATTTTGTATTGGATAACCAATTGGTTTACTATTCCCTGGGGAAGATTATTTCTCCTGCCCCCAGTATTCCTTACTTTCCTGTAGTTCTTTTTGTAGGCTTGAGGTCTCTTGGTCTTTCCTCATCCATGCTATCTATGTTAGCAAATTCATTGTTATTATCTGTGTCACCTAAAGGCAGTCAGTCATATTGATGAGACTTTCTGAATGTAGCTTCTGACATTCACAGGAGACACTCTTGCAGCAATTCCCCTGGTCCTCTGGCTCTTACAGTCTTTCTGCCTTTGGCATTGATGCCTGAGCTTTAGGTATGAGAGTGTTTGTAGATGTCCCTGGGGACTGGGCTCCACAACTCTGCATTTTGATTGCTTGTAGTTTTCTGTAGTGCTGTTGCAAAGAGACACTTCCTTGATGAAGGGTGAGGGCTGCACTTATCTGTGGGTATAAGACAAATATTTATAATGTTAATAGTGATTATGCTGGCTTAATAAACTGTCTGCCACTAGTAAGCAGGATGAACTCCCTGTCTGTCCTCATAGGAAGACAATCTGTGACATTTACATAAAATAACAGATAGAAGTCCTTTGTTTTTTCAATTAGAATACAAAATGCTGGATCTTAGTATTGCATCTCCACGCATTATTGATCTTCGTCTTCTACTACTTGCAGTGTTGATGGCTTTTTACTGTCTGGGTGTTGGCACTTTTGTGTATGGGGTAGAAGTTTGCCTCCACCTTGTACCCAGCATGGGGACAGATGTAGTATAATGACCTGGAAGCAGAAAGGATCCTTTCATACTCTCTCTCATGAGGAAGCTGCCTGATAAGTAGGATCATTTTGCCATAGGTCCAGTTATGTGGGTAGAGAAAGCACTGTGCAGGGTGGTGTGTTCTGTCTGCAAGCACTGCTTGAGTAGTGCCCCCCTCAGATAGGATCACCCGTGCTTAACATACATAGCAGCAGGGTAACCTGGGAAAATACTCGTATGCACATGTTTTTATAGGCCCCTGTATCAGAATATTCATTAGAAACTGACATTCATCATTATTCATGGTTTGCAGATACTGACACTGTCATTTCATGTCTCATCCAGATCTTTCTTGAGAAGGAACTGTCAGCACTTCCTGGAGCAAAGAAGGCAGTAAAGCAAATATTTTCAACTTTGTAGATCATAGATTTTCTTCTGCAGATGTTCATTTCTGCTGTTCCAGTAGAAAAGCATCCAAGACGATACAAATGGCATGGCAGAGTTCTAGTAAAATATCCAGAAATATGCTTTGGCTGATGTGGACAAAAATAATTAGTACAGAGTCTCTATCTGTGTCGATATGGTCTAGCTTGTCTTTTATGTTCTTGCCATCGTTCATGACAAGGTGTATTCCTGGGTCTAGGGAGCATGATGGGCAGGGCAGACCTAGCCCTAAAGTCATTTGAAATCCAGGTGCATGAGGTAGCATTGCTTAGCTGTGAATCTGAAGACCTGTGAGCCTCAGAATAAATAAAGGTTGTCTTAAGTTTTGCCTAGTTTGTCTACCCCACGTAACTGTAGCAATAGCTAGGGTGCTGTTGACCCAATTGTAAAGAAATCTTGTGCAAATATTTTCAAAATTTAAAGCATTGCTTTTTTCACAGCACACTGAAGTTCATTCCTAGAGAATGTCCTGCTGCTTTGCTGACTCTGAGGAGACGAATAACCCCAACACTGTAAGCTAGTGTCACCCAGTTTGGAGGAAAATGAAAGAGAGCTGTATAGATTCTTGGACAGTTCTGTAGGGTACTAACAGAATGACATATGGACTCAGTCCCTCCTGTTTTAAACATACCATGTACAAAGAACACATGACAACCGAAGAAAAAGTAAAAGGAGAAAAAAAAAAAAAACCTGCCATCCCTCATAGGTAATCTTTGCTAACATGATGTATTTCATGAATATGATCTAAGGAATCAGCTTTATAGTCGTTTATATACACATGAATGTGCTCCACTTCGCATTAGAGTTTTAATAGAGTTATTGTAACCTAAGTGTTAGCCCGACTCATTATAAAGGCTTGATAAGGATCATTTAAATCGGACTCACATGGCTATTCCATGTCACAATTCATATAATTGTTCCTTTTGTTAAGTAGCACGTTATTGTCCAGTTGAATTATAGAAATTTTATGATAAATTTTTTTCTAATGCAAATTTTACGAAAAGGCTACACATGTGTGTACATGTAAAGCATTTTAATTTTTTTTTAACATTTAACACTCCACTGGTATGGGAAGTGAACACAGCTGTGTTATTGCTTTTTGGGTCAAAAGATAGAACTTTACCACTTTCCCTAAACACACTCCTGCTCTGAAACTCCAGGTACAAGGCCCTTCTCTTCAGCCAAGGCAGCCACTAACTCACCTCCAGTGTGGTGGATTAGCTACTGCATTAAATTTCTGGTTTGGTTAATTTCCTTTAAATCGCTAAAAGTAGAGTCACTGTAGCAAGAGGTGTGTTTTAAAATAACAGCTCATCTTATTAAATTGCTTTAAAAATAATATTTATACCCCACCAAGTGATATAAAGTGTGGAAGGTCTGAGTGTGGAGAAGCAGTGAGCAGAGCCAAGTGTACCCCGAGAGAGTACTGGGACATGAGTAAGACCGAGTGAGACCACACGGCTTTGGGGGAATCTTAGCAAGTACACTGCCAGTCATGTGACAGTTAGAAAGGTGAGTGTACAAATTTGGACACAAGTGCCACCAACTCTCTGTCCACATTTCTGGCCAGAGTAAAACATGACTGTCAGTGGAGCCAGAAACACAGTCCTCACCCCAGGGAGACAGACGGACCTCCAGATGGAAAACTGGAATGCTCACAATGCAGCCACCTGCATTTCTGTTCTGTGACCTTACCCCATGCTTGAGGAATCTACTCATTTATTCCTCTTCAGGCTTATTCTATAATGAAGTGTTCCAGGTCTTGGGGAACCCCTAGATGGAGCCATTCTGTAATTATCAGTCTGGTATTTGTATAGTGCTTAACTTTTTGGGGGGGTATAAATACTACCTTCCTAAGAAGATGCCCAGAAAAAAAAAATGCTTGTTCATGAAGAGATGATGGTGAGATGCTAAATTTAGTGATGCCTATTTGGTGAAATACAGTTCCTCAGTAGGAGCTGTTTTTTGGTTAGCTTTTGTGTTCTGCTTCATTCCCTAGAAGATGTGTGGTGTATGCTTCCTAGCCCCTGAGTAATAATAACAATAATAACACCATGAGACTTACCTGCTGATGTGGCAAGGGAGCTGGCTCCAGGCTCCAGGGAATACTTCGGCGTTAATATCCAATCTTCACCTTTTCCCACCATGACTTTGTTTTTCTTCATTGACGTTCTTCCAAGCAGCCATTCCATGATATTGAGTGCAAGTGTTTGTTTGTTTGTTTGTTTGTTTGTTTTATTCTATTTTACTACCTCCATGTTTCTATCAAAACATAAATGTCTTATGTCAAAACACCATGGATCAATGAGACCGGATCTCCCAGTTGTGAGAGCAGCACATGGTCCTGTGCCTTCAGCATAGGTTCAGCATAGGTTTAACATGGGTTTTCTCTTTTGCGCTCTGCAGGCTGCTTCTCCCCAGGGATGGTGGAGTTGGATGGAGACTCCGTCCGTCCTCCTCCAGGATGAACCCCCTGCCAGAAGCCATGGAGAACACTCTGACCGGGAGCCAGAGTTCACACGCTTCACTGCGAGACATCCATTCCATCAACCCTGCGCAGCTCATGGCCAGGATTGAGTCCTATGAAGGAAGGGAAAAGAAGGGCATTTCTGATGTCAGGAGGACTTTCTGTCTCTTTGTCACCTTTGACCTCTTATTTGTAACATTGCTGTGGATAATAGAGTTAAATGTAAGTTCATGTGCTCACGACTTCTTGCTTCCAGAAGTCAAAAAGTTCACTTCCTCTGGGATTTTAAAATTTGAATTCCTGGTGCTTAGCTTAATAATAGAGAGTTGAAAGTATACAGTCTGTTGAAAAAACTACTGTCTTTATAAAGCTTCCCAAGACACAGCAAAAATAGTTGTTTTCCTGAAATTTTTTTTTGTTTTTTGTTTTTAATTTTTTATTAATTACACTTTATTCATTTTGTATCCCCCCATAAGCCCCTCTCTCCTCCCCTCCCGATCCCACCCTCCCTCCCCTTTCTGCATGCATGTCACTCCCCAAGTCCACTGATAGGGGAGGTTCTCCTCTTCTTTCTGATCTTAGTCTATCAGTTCTCATCAAAAATGGCTGCATTGTCCTCTACTGTGGCCTGGTAAAGCTGCTCCCCCCTCAGGGGGAGGTGATCAACGAGCAGGCCAATCAGTTTATGTCAGAGGTAGTCCCTCTTCCCATTACTATGTAACCCACTTGGACACTGAACTGCCATGGGCTACACCTGTGCAGGGGTTCCAGATCATCTCCACAAATAGTCCTTGGTTGGAGTATGATTTTCTGGGAAGTTCCCTGTGTTCAAATTATCTTGTTCTGTTGCTCTCCTTGTGGAGTTCCCGTCCCCTCCAGCTCTTACTATTTCCCACTTCTTACATAAAATTCCATTCACTCTGCCCATCAGTTGGCCATCAGGCTCAGCATCTGCTTTGACAGTCTATACTGCAGAAGCTTTATTTTCCTGAATTTTTTTTAGATAAAAGTTTACCAGCTCTTTCTTAAGAAAAAAAAAAAACAAAAAACAAAAAAAAAAAAAAACATGTAGGGGATGGAGAGATTAACGGTTAGGATTTATGGCTGCTCTTTCAGAGGACCCACATTCTAGTCTAAGCACCAACATGATGGCTCACAACCATCTGTAACTTCAGTTCCAGGGGATCTGATGCCCTCTTCTGGCCTTTGAGAGCACCAGGCACACACATGATACATAGACATACGTGCAGGCCAAACACCCATCCATATACATAAGATAATTCTTATCATTAAAATACATGTGTAAAATGTTTCTAAAATATGCTTGTTTTATTATGTCTGCTTTTTAATTCCCTTGTTTAAGAATTTTTCAAAAGAGATTATTTCTTCATATTTTCTTGAACCAATTCTAGAATAATTTGGAGAACTTTGCAATCATGTTGCCCAGTAATATTCTACTACCAAATAGAAATATAGGGCAAACTTTTAACATACTATTTTAAATTCTCTAGTTGCATATTAATAAAAATAAGCAGGTGAAATTTATTGTAACACTGCATTCGATTCGCCCTGATTTCTCAAAGCCTTGGGCCCGCTTGCTTGTATTCCCCACTACCCAACCTGAGCCTTTCCGAAGACTCCTTTATGCAAACACTGTTTCCCTTATTTGTCAGTGGTTCGTCTCATTCCTCAGCTATCTGACCGCTTGTTTTCAGACTAGAACAGGCTCCTTTCTGTCTTAAGACCTCTATAGTTCTGTTCCTCCTGCATCAAGTTATTAATTTCCGGTAGCCCCTTGTAGATTGTGGGATCCATCCTGCTGGTGTCGGTTTACCTATCACCACTCTTCCGTCACTCTGTCTTGTATGGTGTCTTGTGATTCTTTGTTGTTGTCATTTTTTTTACACAGTGGCAAGCACCTGAAGACAGACACTGTTTTACTTACTGAAGTATTCCCTGCATTTGGAACAATGCCCAGCACTCAGTAGGCTCCCAGCAGGTGCTTTGTGGATGGATAAAGATCTTTGTGGCAGTAGTGATTTAGCTGGAAGCAGGTTGGCGGCAAGGACACAAAGTCAGACAGAAGGTGGTGAAGGAGTGCCACTCCAAGTGCCTGACTGGGAAGAAAGAACTCACCTGAGGGAAACATTCAGGCGGTGGCAGACTTGCTGAAAATCAAGACTGCTCTCATGATGGAGCCCACAGCAACATAGGCATACATACTGTCTCCTCCCCGAGGTGTTTGGGCTTAGAAGTGCTTCAGATTTTAAGGATGTTAGAATATTTACATAGCAAGATATCTTGGGAATGGAACCCAAATTAGTGACACATTTATTTATTTATACTTTATTCACATAGTCTGATGGCCAGTTTACACTCTTTAGTGGACGGGAAATTGAACTGAGCTCTTTCACATGACCTTGCGGTCACGTGTGTGTTCAGGTTTGTAAAGCAGTTCAGATCTCAGACGTGTGAATACAGAATGTTCAGTTTGGTCTATAACAAGGATTGGGAAGAGATTTTTGTTTAAATTGTAGTTAGTCTGTTTGAGAACCCCTGAATCAAAGATTGCCAAATAAGGATTTAAAGTACAAGTTTGGGTTGCAGACCTAAACTATAAGGACTCTGCTTACAGACAATGGAGAGTCAAGGTACAGTGCACAAGGTAGCAAAGAAAAGCATTTCCCTGTGGCCACTATGCACCCAGGAAACAGAAGCAGGAAGAGGTGTCTGTGGTAGAGAACCTTCTTTGCCTAGGCCACCAGAAGTAACCATTCTTCTAGCAGTCTGGGCAACAGCTTTCTGAAGTCTGCAGACACAGCACGAGGTTAGGTGGCTACTCACATACGCCCTCTCTTCTGCACTTCACTTGTACAGACCAGTAGCCAAGTAGGTCTATAGCTGATCATACTCACCACTCAGAACCCTAAACTCCTCAAGAGCTCAGAGTACAGGTCATGCCCTGCCTCCATTCCTGTAGCGAACACAAGTCCATGAAATGGCTGAGAGCTTCCTTTCTTTGTGACCATTTCTACTCAGAAATTGAAAGCTGTGCAAGATTGTGAAATCCTTTTTCATGAATTTCCCCTCTTACCCAATTGCCTAGTTAATTGTTCTGACTTTTTCAGACTGTCTGTCAGTCTGTTAGGACTGCATTTGTAATCAGAAATTTGAATTGACCAGACTGAGCCACAGCTCAGGGTTATATGGAGCCTGCCTGGGCTTCATAAATGACCTGAAATATGGCCCCTACTTGATGTAAAAGAAAATATATCTCTTCCTAGTTTAATCACTAGAATTCTGAATTTGATTGTTTAAAATTCATTTTGCTAGTATGAAAGAACAAATAGTTTATCCTGTTGGATTTTATTTCCCTTTGCTGTAGATTGTAGGTCAATTCTGTTCCTATTTTTTTAAACCAAATAGTACATTTAAATCTTTGTAAGAGTGTCAAACTTAAATGTCAAGAGAAAATTAAAACTAGCCACAGAAAACATTGGCACACATGTCTTCTATGTCATGATAGCTGACCTTGGGTATGCTTGCTACAAGGTAAGGGTTCCTGGCCCTTCCAAGAAATCTGTGAAGACAGGTCAAACTGATGGAGTCTTTTTTTTTTTTTTTTAATTCCATATTTCAACATTTGTGTGTTCCGAGGAGGTGTGCAGGGCAGGATAGAGAAACCTCATTGTCTTCATTCTCACTCACTGCTCTCCTAATTTTCCTCTCCTCCTAGGTGAATGGGGGCATCGAGAACACCCTGAAGAAGGAAGTGATTCATTATGACTACTACTCCTCTTACTTTGACATATTCGTAAGTAGCTTTATATCTTAATTCAGATGTAATGAAATGGAAACCAAGAGCCAGGGTCCCTTGAAACAGGCCTTACATGCAATACCAGTTTTCCTTCCTTTGAGCAGTGACCTGGTTTCTTTTCCCTGAATTACCTGCTCACTCAGTGATCTCTGTCTCACTGAGAAACTGATGGTTCAAAAATTAAAAGAAGTAGAAGAGGAAGAGAAGGAGGAGGGAGGGAGGGAGACAAGGATCCCTACCCACTATCATCCTCTCCTTACTGAGGTAGAGCACACTGACAGGTCCTGGTCCCTGGGAGGAAGAGCTGCCCTGCCTTTTTCTTTCTTCCTGTTTATATTGATAATGGGGACTCGATTTGAAATGCCGGCTGGAAGGCCTAGGGTGCAGTTCCACACGTGGCTGTCTGGGATCCGAGCCGCTCTGGGCTGTCCACAGCTGAGTCAGAAAAGTGATAGTAAACTGAAGCTGCTTTTGTTTTTTTCACAGATTTTATGTAACTTTTCTCTTCTTACACCCCCCCCCCCCCCCCCCGCTTTTGGCAGTCTTTCGATTCAAAGTGCTGATACTTGGATATGCTGTGTGCAGATTGCGCCATTGGTGGGCAATAGCGGTGAGTGCGCGACAGTGGGTCACCACCGGACGGGTGGCCAGGGTGCTCCCAGCAGCTGTGCTGAGAGGAGACGGGATTCTAGGGAGCTCAGTGTCACCAGTTGTTCCTAAGTGTCCCTCTTCCTGCCCTTCTTCCTTCACTTTAGTAGGCTTAGCTTATCATGAGTCTTACTGCATTGAAAACTCTTAACTCAGCAACTGGCCTGGTCTGTAGCAAGGAGACTCAAGGCCCAGGAGGAAGCCCTGGCCAAGCCCTTTCTTTTCCTCCTTCCCATCTTTCAGATAAGAGTGGAGGGCAGTGCCTCCAGCTGAGATTTCCGGAAATGCCTTGCTTAGTGATTATTTCGTCACGTAATGATCTGGTCTCATGATTTTGGTGATAAACTCCTCCCGCCCTTTACCCCCACCTGACAGTCTGTGTTAGTTACTTTTCTCATTGAAGTGATATTAGCAACTTGAGAAGGGAAGAGTTGATTGGCTCACAGTTTGAGGACAGTCCATTGCAGTGGGGACCTGGAGTGTAAGGCCTGGCATCCAGTCAGGAGGCAGAGAGAGGCTGCTGCTGCTCGCCTCACCTTCTCTGGACTCGGCCATAGACCCCAGCCCATGGATGCTGCTGCCAACTTGGGGAGAGTCTTTGCCTTCCCTTGAAGCTCTCTGGAGACAACCTCACAGACATGCTTAGAGGCTCATCTACTAAATGATTATAAACCCCAACATGTCCAAAGTCATGTTAATCAGGTGTCAAAGAGGGAAAAGCCATTGTCATGCTCTTCCTTTTGTTTCTCTGTTTTTTCCAGATGAGTGAACCCCTCCCCCAGCCCCTCCTTCCACCCCCAATCTTTCTCCTTACATCTAGCACAGCTGAGTACATTCTGTTCATTTTTGGTAAATATTAAGAAACTGAACGTTAGAGTCAGTTGGCTGCCTGCATCCTCTTTGTCATGTCCAGGATGTTGTTCATTCCTTCCCACAAGCCTTGTGAGGTAGACAGAGGACAAAGGCAGAGCTGTTGGGCTCCTTATACTAGATGGAGCTCAGGCATAAGTTGAATCCGGCAGTAGCAGCCTTTGCCTGAGCTGATGCACATGAGAACAGCGCTGGCCAGGAGAGAGACAGCCAGGGCTGGCTGTGCCCATGTTACCTTCAACATCACAGGGTACAGGCTACACCTTCTGTCTTCTGGAGTCGTAATTCAAGGATGTAGCTGACATCGCAGCAAGCCTGATTCCTGCCTCTGTTGCAGACATGGTAGCTTTGAACGTTACACCATAACATTCTGCATCTGGGACATTCTATTCCCGAGTCTCCGTGTAGACTGATGTTTGCAAAACTAGCCATCTTGGTATTTGTTGTGAAAGAGATTCACACAGATGAGTTACACTAAAGCACCTGCTTTCATTTTCAAATAGAATCATCTTGGTTTCATTTCATTCTAAGAAAGGAAAGGCCCGATGTATCAAGTTCAGTTTTTTGTTTCTGATTTTTTAAAAATTATTTGCAGGAAAGGGATATCAGCTAAGTCACCTAAGAGCAATCGGTGTCAATCTCTAAAGTAAATTATTGTCTGCTAGTAAAATGTTTTCTCTCAGCAAATTACTTTGGCATGTGTATCTGCTTAATACTTAGGAACAAGTACTCACATGTCCTGCCTCCGTCCTGCTAGTCACTTCAGTCACCTCTGCCGTTCACTCTCGTTAGGCCTCACCATGCTGACATCTCAGCTGGAGCAGGGGTAGCAATGCCTAACATGAAAGGCTTGCTGTAGCTTCACACCCTAGGGAGAGCCCCATCTGTGCATGTCAACTGTCCTTTTGTACGTGTAGTAGACTTGCACCTTTTTCTGGACAGAAGTTTTCCAATGCATTAGCCTTTTTCACTTCAAGAGGAGGAATGTCATATATACCCTGACTGTATGCCTCAGAGAACCAGTTTTGCTCAGAATGGGTATGTGGGAGAGCACAAACAATGCGGGAAGTCTCCAGGCTGGGCACAGTTTGCTCAAGGACTGTCTGCTCTTGGCTCAGCTCTCTTATTGAGTGGGGAGGACTTGCAGTGTGAAATGAAACGATGAGTGTTATATTATGTGTCTTGCAGTTGACGACAGCAGTGACCAGTGCCTTTTTATTAGCAAAAGTGATCCTCTCAAAGGTAGGTGTGGCTCTCCTTCCCTGTGCCATTACTGTCTGCCATGATGAAGCCCTCCTTCCCATGTGAGCTGATGGTGACTGCTTTCTCTCAACACCTCCCGTTCTCTAGCTTTTCTCTCAAGGGGCATTTGGCTATGTGTTGCCCATCATTTCATTCATCCTTGCCTGGATTGAGACGTGGTTCCTGGATTTCAAAGTGTTACCTCAAGAAGCAGAAGAAGAAAACAGTAAGTTTCTGTCACTGTTGGCCTCCCAGGCTTTCACATATTACACTGCGGGGAACTGATGTGGCTTCTTACTGCGAGAGAAGCTTCAGGCAGCTGGTTACATGTGCTTCAGTGGCTGTGTCAGAGTTGACAGGAAAGTGGCTGGAGATGTGAGAGCATAGTGACTCAGAGTGGCTCTTCTCTCTGGCTGCCAGACCAGGCTTCCCCGAGAGGGTACGGCCATTGTTTGAACAGACATTCATAAAGTAACAAAAAGAAGCCACTGTTTCCTTCTTCCTACGTGCCTTGATCTTTTCTCCCTAGAATGATGCTCAGGTCGGTAAGCATTTATAGAGAACAGAACTGTTCCTTGCAGGGGCAGAGAACGTTGAACCAATTCTGAGTGAGCAGAAGAAGTAATTTTAAAGCAGTCAGTGGCTCTGCAGAGTGCCATATTGCTGTGTATACAGCAGGCTTAGGATGCTCACAGATAGAACAGTCACACGCCTGGCACTGGGACCGTGATGGTTCATCTGGAGTTCAGAGGAGAACTATGAACAGTGTTCTGCCCACTCAGCCGAGTGGGTGCTTTTGAGTGGCCGAGTGACATCTGTCACCATTTTCTTCTCAGGTCTGACAAAGCTATGACATAACCACATGGTATCCAGTGTGCTAGGGTATTAAGGAGAAAGGACAAAGGGTCCATTTAAGAGCTGTATGGTTAGTGACTGGCCTGGGGTTCTTATCTGTAAGAAACCTGTAATGGAGGCACAGTGTTATCTGCCCTTCTGGGAGGGAAAGGGATCATAATTCAGTGTAGAACGGTATACTGCTTCAGACATACCCCCGTTGGATCCTTTTCCAGCATCTGCCTCAATTTGCCCCAACAGGAAAAAAAAAGATCTTGTGTTTAATAAAAAATTAAGCATAATTATAGCTCCAAAAGCATCAGAATCAAGAATCACTTTCCATGAAGTTTGATTTGAAAAATATCTGTAACAGAGAGGACAACTTAAAAAAAAAAAAAAAAAAAGAATTCTAATTCAAGAGTGAGCTTACAGAGTACATTAAACAGTGATCCAAGATGCCTTTGCCATTCTGTGTCCTTCTTTCTATTACATATAAACTCCAAACTAGACATTGTTGAAAACATGAGGTGTTCACATGACTGAGGTTTAAATGGTTATGTGATTAAACCAAATTCACGCTATCTAATACAGTGGAAGGGAAAGGCTGGAGGGGGGCTCAGTGAGTAAGGGTGCTGCCACCAAACCTGATGACCTAAATCCTGTCCCCAGAACCCACATGATGGGAACCAAGTCTCACAAATTGTCTTCTGACTATACACTGGCGCATGCTCACCCCACATAGGCACACATGCACAAATTCATAAACATTAAAAAAAAAAAAACCACTTAAAAAAGAAGTGAGCATTAAGCAAAGTCACCCAGTATCAGGGGGAAAAAAAAAACCAAAAAACACAGATTGCCCTTGCCTACATTCTACCACACGTAGATCCTGGCCTATAATGTATACATTATATGTAATATTTACATATAAATAAGTACACCTGTGGGTTCAGTATAACATGTAGAAAAGAGATCAGGAAAGGTAATATTAGGTGCTGAGAAAGGGCAGTGCAGGTAAAGGTCACATGACTTATGAGAGAGGCTATAACGCTAATTGTTTCTCTAGTTTTAACTGTCTCTTCTTGTTTTTTTGTGTGGTGGAGAAGCACATATGATAGTGAAGGTCTAGAGCCCCAAGTGAGGCTCCGAGTGGCTATTCTAATAGTGTAGAAGTTTGTAGAGAGGAATAGAGGTCAGGACCGGGCACGTGCTTGGCGAGTGGCTGTGCTCATCTACTTGTAAGTTCACTGCAATAAATTAACGTTTATGCTAAAAAGTGAACACACGTTTCATGAAATTTAAAGCACCATTTGCCTTCGTTGTACTGACACATAGCAAACCTACCTGGCGTCTGCTGTGTGGATGGGTGCTTGCTACTGCGGTTGCTAACACTGACACTGGTTTTAGCAAAAATGTCTCAAGGACAGATGGTCTTCCTCCTTGAGGTTTCGTCATTTGTTTTTTGCTATTTAATTCCTTGTTTTTCTTTGGGAAAAATTAAATAAAATAAACACCAGGGCCAGAAAGACAGCTCCACTGTTCAGAGTGTATCCTGCTCTGAAGAGGACCTGAGTTTGGTTCCCAGCACCCAAGTAGGGTGACACATAAATGCCTGTTTCTCCTGCTCCCAGTGATCAGATGCCTTCTTCTGGCCTCTGTGAGCACCTGCACCCACCCGCGTGTACATACTCCAGTACAGATGCAGATGCACAGGGACACTGGAGCACATGCATGTACGTGTTCACACATAATCTTAAAAATACCTAAGAAGTAAAATAAAGAAATGACACTTTGTTTTCTGCATTACTTTCTATACATTGGTAAAAGGCCATGAGGGCATCACATTTGACATCTGCTGTTTCCCTGACCAAGGCTAGATGGTAGACCGTTTGTCCATGTTGGCTCACTTCTGATTGCAGTTCATGCTTCTTTTTGAAGTTTGTAGATGTTTGGTTTGAGGTTTGTAGAGAGGTGAGAATCCTCAAGGGATTGAAGTTCTGAACACTGAGCCCAGGAGTAATTAAAAATCATTATTAAAACTGTTTGTTTTCTGTTTTTATTTACACAGATTTGGTGTGTGGTTTCATTAATGAAATATTTACTTAGTGGATGAAAGATTTTCAAAGTACCTGTTTTTATAATAGTTTATCTAGTATATTGAAACACCATTTTCATAACAGTTAATCTTGCCAGGAAGCTACCAGGAACATGATGTCATTCTTAGCATCTGTGTTTCTTCTCTCCCAGGACTCCTGCTAGTTCAGGATGCATCAGAGAGGGCTGCTCTCATCCCTGCAGGACTTTCTGATGGTCAGTTTTACTCCCCTCCTGAGTCTGAAGCAGGTAAACAGTCACTTACCATTTGTGGTTTTGGTCCATTTTGAAACCCCCTCTATTTGTTCCTTCTCCTGCCCTGTCTATTTTCCAGTCTGTTTAGCAGACTCTGAGCATGCTGTGATGTAAAACCAAGTAGGAAGAGTCTCCCAGGAGAACAGTAGTGAGACAGGTCTGAATACAGAAGTCATGGAATGGCATGGATACTGGAACTTATGATACATGTCCCAGAAAAAAGGCAGAAGGGGCAACTTCATCCTGTCCTTATTCCTCCATTCCTAAGCCAGCCTTCCTCTAGGATTACTCATGGCTGAGAGAGGCAGTTCTGTCTAGGTGCTCCCAACAGAAAGTGTCTCAGGGCTGCTTCCCCATCTCACAGCTGATGCCTCATCATTCATTGGCTGTTGATTAGCCTGACCTCTCTGCCTGCATCATCTGATTCAAGTTCAAACAGAGATACTGTTTCTTGGTTTACTGACCGCCACTGCCTTTGCACAGCTGCTAGCTTTGCTTCTCACTAACCAGCTCTTAAAAATAACAGTACACTAAACTATAGAGGCAGCAACAGGCCCTAACCAAAAATGCACAAAGGTCTAGAGGAAACATTTTCCCAAGAAAGGTGAGCAGAAAGCCAGTTCTGTGCGAAAGCATGCCAACACCAATAATCTTTGGGAAAAATACAAACAAAAAACATGTTAAGGTACCCCCATCCCTTGTATGTATTATTTTTAAAAATCCCTGCACGTGGTGAGGGCATGGAGCAGGTCAAACCCTGTGCACAAGAGTTGAGAGTTAAAATTGTGGAGCCCCTGTAGAAAACAGCCTGGTGTTTCCCACCCAAATTCCACATGATATCACTCGACAGTTGCTTCTCTGGCTGTCTGCCCAAGAGAAAGAAATACAAAGTCAAGAAATATAGTCAGTCCCTGTAACCATAGCAGCATTGTGTACAGTAGCTTTCAACAGGTGGACACATAAAATGTGATATACGCACCCAGGGGAATATAATTTAAAAGGAAATAAATTCTGACCTCTGCCATGTTTGTGATCTTTGGGCAGAATATGTGAAATATGATAAGGCAGATCAAAAAGCTAACACTTGCATGATTCTGTTTATTAAGGTACCAGAGAGTTCAAATCCCAAGAGTCAGCAAAATAGTGGTTGTCCAGGTTGGAGGACGTTGTGTAGATGAATGTGTTAATGGTTCCATAGAATGTGGACCTTCATGCCATTGCATGGAACACTTCAAAACAGCTAAAATGTTGTAATGGGTGAGGAAAAAAATGTCCAAAATGCTTATTTTATTCACATTTATGTCCATATAATACAATATAAAAATATTTTAAACTGCTAGAACTTTATAGGAACTAGGCAGGTACGGGTCCCCAGAGCTCATTCACATCTTACCACCACTCTGTGAGGTGAGCTTACTGTGCCAGTGTAGAGAGGAGCAAGTCAGGCAGAGAACAGAAGTACACCAGCATCACAGAAAGTTCGGGTGCCATGTCTGTGAAAGTGCCAGAGTGGCCGGGCCAGCTCTGCCCAAAGCCTTCAGTGACCTGGCCCAAACCACCTCTCTTGGCCTCCTCCCTCACTGCCCCACCTCTCACCCTGTCTTCTTTTCTGTTCTTAGCCTTTCAGAAAAGCTGGGCTCCAAGGCCCGCAAGCGATTTGCATCATAGTCTTCTGTTCTGAACATTGTACCCCTAGCTAAAGCTCCAGGAGCCTCTGTCCAGCCTCCCCACCTGCTTGCCCTCCTGCTGTCTCTGCGAGGGTGTTGGGCTCTCGGTTGTGTTCCTCAGCCATCCTGTGCCATCTGCACTGTCTCTAGCAATCACTTGGTCTGTTTCTGCCCCAGGATGTAACTTGAATTAGAGGTGACATTGTTATAGTCTAGACATTAGCTAGAGGGAACATTTTAAACTGTGTTAATGGGTGGAAAGAGCTGTCAGAATAATGGATGCTGCAGGCCTGTGTAGAGTTGCTACCCTGCAGGGACTTCAGCTTACTCCCATTATGTGTTGTTGATGTGGGATCTAAAACAGTGTGAAATGGGAAAATCACAGGTGGATTCTAGTATCACTCTGAAAGCCATAGAAAGAATTGAAAGTGAAACTCTTTACTGCTTCATTATGAGTATTGGATTCAGTTGTTTGTTTTGTTTTGTTTTGTTTGTTTGTTTGTTTGTTTGTTTTTGTCATAGGACTTGTTTTGAAAATGAAATTTATAATCCAGTTCAAATGTAGCTATTTTAGCTTAGTTTCCCCGGGCTAATGCAGTGTGTCGATTTAACAAGGAGCTCAGATTGGCAGGCTGATAACCATGAAGTGAGTGGTTCTTCTCCATCAAGCTTTCCAGGACCAAGAAAGGCCTTCAGTCTGTGATGTGTGGCACCATCTAGTGGCCCTTTGTGGACTTGCCACTGTGTTAGGAAGCCAGAGAGAACAGGAACAATTCCATAGTTTTCCTTTAGGTAGCTGTTCATGGCACAAGAAGTATCTCAGTAGTGGTGAACAGAGGTGGATGCTCAAAGCGCTTGCTTTCTAGTGTTACATTTATGTTATCAGAATGTCCAACCTGGAGAAGAGTGAAATCATTACCGAAGGTGATGTGCCTAAAACTGGCAAGCAATCCTCCAGCACAGTCTCATAATGCCGAGAGTGAGCAGGGCTGGCTGCCTGAGACTTTGGTGTCGGCACACTGGGGCTGCCTTGCTTGCTTTGTTCCCCAGGGCCTGAACAAGTACCTGAGAGGTGATAGATGTCTGTCTGTGTGAAGGCTGGATTAAAGTAGAGAAGGAAGTTGAAGGAAGTGTAACGAAAAATGTTACCTTCTTCTCTTAGGAAGGAACAGCTTGAGATTTTGAATGGGAATTGAGAGATGAGCATGTGCTAGTGGATGTGTTGCCAGAACCATCACCATCCTACGTTCACAAAGCTCACTGATCAGTCTAGCATCGGCCTGCTTGCTCGTGCGTTGCGTGCACAGAGAGAAGGCACAGACCTCGGTGGGTGACCGCAGTGACAGTGCAGAGTGAGCAGAAATGACCCAAGCGGGATGCTTAGTTGGGGCAACACTCTACCCCGTGGCAGGTCTGGTTTGAGATGCAGACGAGTTTGGGAGTGAAGATGTATAGTTCAGAAGAGAAGCACATGTCAGATGGGTGTGTGAAACCATGGGTTCGATCCCAGTGCAGTAGGGAACTGCCTGGAGAGATGAACACCTCACATCGTATAATATTTACTCTGTGAAAGTCAGAGTAAAGGCACCAAAGTTCCAGGAGTGCCCATGCCCCTGCTGTGCCTGTGGCAGGCCGGCCTCCTCCCTTTATCTCTCACAAGGGCTCTCAATTAGATGGTCACCCTTTGCGCAGAGATGTATTCAATGCATTAAAAACTCACTCGCAGGGTCATTGACTAATGGGTGTCTTGGGCTCTGTGAAAGAATATATAACCTTCCATACTACAAACAAATTCATCTTTTGTGAATGTATAATTAAATGAAGCAGTTCTTCCCCTGACCAAGCCTTCCAGGATGGATGGAGGGTTCTGTCTGAGATGTCTGCCACCTAGTGGTCATTTGGGGAATTACTGCTTGGTCAGGGCTAGCGGCAATTTTAGGCCATTTTATTATATCAGTAAACTGTTCATTGTACTTAGCCCGAGCTTGTACGTCGTGTTCTAAGGTACTTGTGTGTCTGCTTCCTACCTTGATGCTGTGTCTCCTGGACATGTCCTGGTAACACTCATGCAGTGTGGCTCCTACACTCAGCTGCTGTTCAGCAGGCATCAGTTAGGGAGTGAGGGCACACTTTGCCAGTCGCTGGCACGTCAGAGTCAGCAGTTCGGGCTACTAGAAAGAACAGGTCTCTGAGCAGATACATATGTGGTTGGACATCTATTGCCTTTCTGGGGGTGTGGATTTTTAAAAGATTTACTGTGCCATGTGCTTAATGAGTCTTGAACTTTTCATAAGCTGCACTCTGCAGTCCTCAACTTCTTATGTCCTTCAAGCAGTGAACATTAGCTTTATTTTTGTGAATCCCTGCCAACACGAGGTGTTCTTTGCAGACTTTTGCTTTTGGTTGTCTAACAAAACTAAAGCCGTGTCTGCTGTCCCTGAGTGCTGACCTCTCTTCCACATTCCTGTTTCACATTACTTAATCTTTTTACTTCATATTTTTTTCATATTTTCGATTAAATTCTATAATAACCCCATGCATTTATGTAACACATTCTGATCATACTCAGCCCCCTCCCCTTTCCCCCTCACCGCTATGAACCCCCTCTCCTCCGTTAAAATTCCCCTCCCATCCGCATGTCGTCTTGTTTAGGTTTGTTGCTAAGTGGGTTTAACCAGAGTCCTCGTGAGCACAGGTGTGAGGCTGTCCCCGGAGCATGGAGAACTCAACAATGGCCATGCTACTGGAGACAGTGACTACCCGTTTCCCGGTAGCCACCAACATTCAGTAGGTCGCCGGGGAAAAGCAGGGCCCGGTGAGCCACCGCAGCCCCACTCATGACTGACTGTCCATCTTCTGTCCAGTCTCGTGCAGGCAGCTACAGGTGCTGTGAGGTCCTTATTGCAATCTCCGCACCGTATCCCTCAGATCGTGGTGCACACCCCTCAGCCCTGTCCTGGGTCCTGCAGTCTCTGCCCTTTCCCCCATGATGATCCCTGAACCTTGGAGGTGAGGTAGATGCCTTTGCTAGGACTGAGCACTCAGCACACACTGTTTCCCAGCACCCTGAGCAGCCGTGAGGGTCCGCCTTTACCTCTGTTGGTGGCAAAAACAAGCTTCTCTGACCAAGGCTGCAGCATTTGCCCTTGGGCCACCAGTCTTCAAGTCCACGGCCACATGGTACCTCTCCTGAGGTCCTCTCGTGCGTTCACGTGCTGATGTCAGTTATGCCTAGCTTATGGGTTTGCTTTTTTTGATGATAGTGTATTTGTGGACATATCTAAGCTCTCTTTACCTTCACTCTGGGTCATGAAGAAATTTGCCTGTGGTTTTCATCTAGACATTTCCGTTAAGATTAGTGTATTTTTGTTTCGTTGGTCTTGCATTTTTAGGATTAGAGTATATTTTAATTACTTTTCACATATAAAGAAATGAAGGACTACATGCACATCTTCTTGATGTTGGTTATCTGTCCATTTGTCCTGAAAACAATTAACAAAACAGTGGCTCCATACTGAATCCACTTGACATACTTGTTAATAGTCATTTGCTGTGAGTGTGGCAAGCCAGTTGTTTTTTCAGCTCCTTTTGGATTGGGTTTAGCATATTCTCCCTTTCCTTTTTAAAAAAAAAGTCACTTAGTTTTACTTGGTGGACTTGAAGCCTTTCTTACGGTCTGACACAGGCCTTTAAAGCGGTAGTTTATTCTAGACCTCGCTTTGCTGGTACTCACGCATTCGGACCTGCTGTATTGTTCCCTGGTTATCAACAGGTGGGTGAGGTGGCCCTTTGAGAGGATCCCTATTCACTTTCTTCAGCAACTAAGTATACGGGTAATGGCTCCCAACAAACGCAGGGAAGTGTGGGCAGTGTTTTCTCAAATGTCTTCCTGATTGTCAGCTTCCCCGGTGCTATTATCTGGCCACTGTCTATCTCTGCTCAGGGTCCTGTGGTTTTTCCTGCCATGCAGTCCGGGTACTAACTGTCAGTTCTAGTGAAGCTACTGCCCCCTCTGCTTGCTTTCCGGGAACGCATCCCTTCTCCAGCCGCTCCCTGACTTCAGCTTTCCTGTGTCAGGACTTGTTCTTTAAATCTCTGTTCATTTTCAACATACTCCGTCTTGACAATCTCTGGCTGTTTTTTTGTTTTTTGTTTTTTGTTTTGTTTTTTTTCTCATGCTTCACTTTCTTAGATTTATTGCATGTATCCTTTGAATGCATTATTGCTGTTTTTGACGTTTGCCTGGTTAAATACAGTATTTAAAGAAGCACACAGATGGTTTGTTTTGACTCTTCTTTTTGTCGCTTTTTCTCAAAATGATCATTAGCATGCTGTATTTTTAAAATAATGCTTCCTATAATTTCTGCTGCATTTTGTTGAATGTATAATGAAACATTTCTGAATTTGGAAATTTTTTTCCTCTCAAAAGGATGTGCTGTAAATTAGTTAAACTTAGTAAATTAGCCATGAAATGACACTCTCTGTGGAACAATGCCACTTCTCTTTTGTATGTCTCCCACCTTTTTTTTTTTTTTCAAAACTTGATTTTTAAACTTTGCTAAGTTTTAAGGAAATTTTACTTATTCTTTGAAGACCCCATCTATGTATAAGATGTATCTGCACTCCCTCTCTCTAGGTCCCTATGAGCATCGCAGAAAATCTGCCTCCAGCTTCATGTCCTCTTTTATCTTTAATCCCCTGGGTGCAATCAATGCTGCTCCTACATGCTTGGCTTTGCGGGTGAGGGGTAATCCATCGGGCACTGGCAGCCTACCAGTGGCCAACATCCTAAAAATGTGTCTGTCCCTCCCCCAGCAGCCATCAGCTGCCCAAAGCTCCTCAGCTGGAGAGTGGCCCTTGGTTCCCCTTTACCTTCCTCGCTGGGATTTTCAACTCACTTGATCTTGTTCCTCAAACAACAGCTGCTATGAGTCTATGTGTGTGAAATGTCATGCCCAGTGAACAGAATCTCACAGAAGTCTCCTAACTCTCCCATACTTAGTGGTATCCAGTGACTAGACAGAAATCATGTCCAAGCTCCCGACTAAGGCCTCTCTCCTCTGCCACATGGCAGAGTGGAGCTTGATGTAGAAGATGCCAAGACACAAACCCTTATTCCTGCCGTTGGCCAGGCGGGGCAGAGTGGACCTGGGAGCACATATGCTCAATCTGGACTTGTTTCTGAGATCCTGTCATTGAAAGGAGGTAGTTAGTGCATCAGAGTCTCCACTGAGTACAGCAGGCAGTTCAGTGGGCTGGATAGGACGCCTGACCCTCTACCTTTACTCTCCACCCCAAATTTCCCTGAAATTGCTAGTTTGCGTGTTTAAAATGTGGGATCCAACGGTAGGATTCTCCTCCACTCTTTTCCCCGTACCGTGCTTGTTCTCTGCCTTATCGAGTAGAATTCTGTAAAGACCAATGAGCACATCATCTCCCAGTTTCTGCAGTACACGAGGGTGGCCACCTCCTTATCTATGCATGGTCTTCTCACTCTCCTTCTGAAGTCTTTCCCTGGTTGTGAGAATGCTACATACTTACATAAGATATGCAGAGCTGACCTGTCAAACTAGGGAGCAACAGCAGCATTCACAGCACAAGGTGTTTCCTTCTAATTGTGCGGGCAGTTTCACACCACTGTGATTCTGCCTACAGTAAAAGCAGGGTTCTGTTTGTGAAGTTATAAGTTAAAAACTAGTTACCGTCATTTTGCAGTGCACATTTTGAAATATTCAAAGATATGTAAGTGTTGTTTGGTTAGTTTCTATTATTTCTCGTTTGTATATATACATTTGGCTTTTTAATTTGGTCATATGCAAGCTTATAATGTGCAAACTTTAACTATTTGTTATGAATTTGCTTTTTCAATAACTCCCACATTGTTATATAGTAGATATAAATTTGTTCTAAGTGATTGCAAGTTATTTCATAGAAATGTAACTCAGACAATATAACTCAAATAGGTAGCTCTGGTTTCATTTCTCATCTCTAGAGAAAAACGTCTTAATGACAAATATTACTTCTTATTTAGGATTGATCCAAAGGAAGGAATTTCAGAGTTAGACAGCTTGCTCAATAGTAGAGAAACCCAAGGCTGAAAACTATCTGTCCTGAAGAGCTGGACAGTGGTCCTAGGGCATGTAACCATCTGGCGGCACCTTCTTTCAGCATTAGGAGCCATCACTGTGCCCAGTTCAACATGTGTCGTGGTTTCTAAAATCACCTAGATTAAGTATTATTTATACTTACACATACATACACAGTGGGGCTGGAGGGGAGCTTCAGCGGCCAAGAACACTGACAGCCATTACAGATTTCCTGGATTCAATTCCCAGCACCCATATAGCAGCTCACAACTGTCTGTAATTCCAGGTGTAGAGATCTGATACCCTGTTCAGACTTGCTTGTGCTGCACAGACATATATACAGACAAAGCACCTGTACATATAATATAAAGTTTAAAAACCACACACACAAGTAAAACAACAACAACAACAAAAAAAAAAAAAACAAAACAAACAAAAAAAAAAAACAGAGAGATGATCCTTGGTACATGAATACTTTGATTATTATATAAGTGAGTCCATTTCAGCCTCGTCCAAGGTATAGGTGGTATTTGAAGTTTACCCCTACAGAACCTAAGGTCAAATTTTAAAATGACAGTGTATTAATCTTGGTTTCTTGAGGATGGATCATGTTTATTGCATTTGATTTTGTTGTTCTGGTTTATTTTTGTTTTTTTTTTTTGTTTTTGTTTTTGTTTTTTTTTTTTGAGATAGGATTTTTTCAGTGTATCCTTGGCTGATCTGGACTCTCTTTGTAGACCAGGGTGGCCATAAACTCACAGAGAATCACTTGTCTCTGCCCCCTGAGTGCTGGGAGTACAGTTGTGTGCCGATGCTCCCTGCTGAACATTTCTTTTACAAAGACTTTCATATCGGCATTGTAGTGAAGAAATGTGTAATGTTAACACAATGAGATCCTCCTTTTCTTTTCTACCTCAGGATCTGAAGAAGAAGCTGAGGAAAAACAGGACAGTGAGAAACCACTTTTAGAACTATGAGTTCTGCTCTGTGAAGTAAGTGTTTGTAAATGAAATTATACCAACAAACTGTTACATGTGTGCATTTCCTTGGGTAGATTCAAAGGAAGTGTCTCAGAGCGTGCAGCAAGAGCCAGATTTGTCCTGCTTGTTGTGTGTAACAACGATTCAGGTTGAAGCATTCACATTGTGTTTGGGTTGTAAATGCATAGCTTGAAGGATCATTCAGAGACCCCCATTTCTAAGAAAGTAAGCTTAACTTAGCCAGAATGTCTGTGCCCGGCATTGGCTTAATTTCAAACAGCCTCCTAATGATGTCTTGACATCAGTGATCCTAAGAGGTATGGGATGGCCGTTACCTCCCTGTCACACTTCTGGATGCAGGGCATGGTACCGAATGAGCTCAGATCCAAGCAGTCGTACCCCAGGGACTTCTGCAGGTCCCCACAGGGAAGCATCTCAAGGGTGTTAGCACTTCTGATAGAAAAGCTGTGAGCTGCAGCATGGAGGACATTGGTGAGTGAGCTCAGATGACAAGGAAGTCATTCTAAGACTCTCCACGCAGGGAGAGACTCTCCACATGAGGAGCACATGCGGGGCAGCAGTGCTTGTAACCATGGCCACCAGGGGAGAGGCCACAGATTGTGGCTCACAAAGCAAGGGCAGGCAGATGGGCTGCTGGCCCAACCAGTGCCACAGCAGACATGTCCCTTACACAGTCCCGTGTCCCTTACAGTTAGCACACAACAGCCGCTGGACACACAAGAGGGGAAACTGTCAGCTGAAATCGCCAAGTCTTTTGTGACCCCTGACAAATGCTTGTTTTCTTGCCCTTAGCATCTGTGTGTTCTGTTGCCTTCAGTATGGAGTTGGGAAACAGGCAGGCAGCACAGCACGTGGCCTCCGACCACTGCTCACTCTTTGTCTGCACTCTTTCTCAAGTGTGAAGAACCCTCACTGCAAGTCATCTAAGGAGACAGGTGGAGATGGGCTTCCCCTGGAGCTTAATGGTGGATCTGCTCACTGCTGGCTGTTGATGAGCTAAGGAATTTACTTATGGTGATACCTCATGGACATTGCTCCGCCTCCACTCCCATCATTCCTGCCTGTGGCAGTTGCGTCCTGCTCTGGTCCTTCCTCTATTCTGTGAGTCTCCATCTGACCTGATAATGAATAACTCGGTCTCGTGCTGCATCCGAATCAAAAGACTGCTTAATATATTGAAATAACAATTTCGTAGTAAGTGAGATTCCTTTTTATTTCAATTCACAGAATGTTTTTTTTTGTTTGTTTGTTTCATGTCTCAGATTTCTTTTGTATTTCTTTTTTAACTCCTTACATTTCACTTGTGTTTTTAAACTCATGCACATTGCTCTTTATACAATTTTAAAATAATAAATCCAACATATCAAAATGACTGTTGTGTTTTCTCTATATTTGTCCAGTAGTGGTGCGTTTACAGAAGGGAGAGAGTGTGGTATGGTGGCATAGAAACTATTGTCCTGTATTTGGTCTGATTCTCCTGGAACACCTTGTTCTGAAATAGGGCTCTGATATTCTACACACAAACCAACCTGCCAAGGATGCGGATGCCTTTGCTACTACTTTTCTTGGATGTTTTCTTCCTTTGGAATAATAGGAACAAATTTACATCATCAACTGTTTTGCTGGTCACTTCTCCCAATTCACTTTCGGGTTCCCGGGAGGGCGGACCGAATCTCCATCATTGATGTGTCATGCTAGGAAGGTTAACCGCCCCCAGCAGTGGTGCTACAGGCTTGGTGGACACAGGTTCTGCGCAGATCCAGTCCTGCATCTGCACAGTCTGAGAGCGTGCCCACCCCGGCAGTGCCACAAGGATCCTGGCAGGAAGGCTGCAGTGCAATCAAGAAGGGCTGCCCATGGGAAGGGAGAGTAGAGGGAGCTCCCCAGGTCTGTTCTTGAGGCAGGACCTCAGGAACTTGATGGAAGGACCCCGATGACAGTTTCCTGTGTCAGCAGTGGAGCCGCATGTACTCCAAGCCTAGCCAGGTGTCAGTGGCTGAGACAGAACACTGCTGAGTGCTGGCCTGCGCCACTGGATGTGGCCAGTGCTTGCTTCTTCACTGCAGCCGTGTAAAGGACTGATCAGAAACAAGTGGACAGTGTATGTGTGTCCCGACCTGTGTGAATTCAAAGGGATCCTAAAGGATGTGTGTGTGTGTGTGTGTGTGAAAAGAATGGGGTAGAACAAAAAACACAAGGAAGGAAGCCAAGTCTGTTTGTCTGATCAAGGCCTTGTTTATTAGAAATTTTACCCAACTTATGTAGGGAGAAGGCAGGAAAAGGGGGAGGTTAATTACTGCTACAGGAGATAGCAAGAGTGCTTTCATGGGTTGAATATTGCACCTGCAAGATACCATAAGTATGTTTTCTTAAGATATCTCATAGATGCTCTAAAACTAACAGACAGATGTCCTCACAAATCTATCACCCCTGACTTAGGGTCCTAGATAACTCTTTCACTAAATAGCTTTAGGTCTCCACTAAATGACCTTTGCTCACTATTGGGCTTTGGCTTCAGTAAATAGCTTTGTCTCCACTAAATAGCTTTGGCTCACTATTTGACTTTGGCTTCAGTAAATAGCTTTGGCTCCTGGCTTATGTGTGAGACTGTGAAAGAGGTCAGACACTGAGACCCTAGAGACTACCTCAGTCGTGCCTCCTCTCGGACAGGACAAGTGAGCCCTGGGATTCAGGTGTCTCCCTGCACCCAGTCTGTTCCTGACCTCTCATTGCTGATACCCTACAGTTAGCCTTCCTATAATTCCTCTGACATCAACCTGCCCTCTCCACTGCCACCACCACTCCCTGCCACTCCCTTTCTTTGCTCATAAAGCACAGTACTGTGGCTCACATCTTTGTCCTTTGGAATCAAGAAGGCACATCTCACACACTCTTTGCATTCTGAGAAAAAAAAATGTCAGAAGTGTCAGCATCTGTGAGTGCAGTGCTTCAGACCCTGCAGCAAGAGGCTAGGGTGACTTTGGAGCTGCAGAGAACCCTCTGTGTTCCTTAGAGCATGTAAGGGGTTGATCAGAGACCCAGTGTGTGGTTCTGGGCATCAGATTCCAACTGAAGCAGCTGAGGACCCCAGGGAGTCCCACTCCTCTCAGCTTGGCTCTTCAGTTTGACAACCACATCCTCCACACAAAGCTAGATTTTTTTTTTCCCCATTAGCTGTGGCCTTTTGAAACTTCGCAGAGCTGGCTGTGGTTTAACTGCTCTTATTTTCTTTTCTAACACCCTCGTTGCCCTTTCTGTTGCCACAATCAGTAGAGGTGGGTTTGGCTTTGAGCATTTTCCAGGAAGCAACCACATTGACCAAACAGGTCAACAAAAGATGCCTGAGAAAATAAAGCCATGAGCCATAGCAGCATCGGCCTGCACACCACCAACCTCTGGTGTCCCCTCTCAGCCACAAATAGCACTCTCTCTGCACTGCTGAGACCTGGGGGGGGGGGGTCCAGATGGACTCTGGGAGGAGGGTGCTGAGAGGTTTGAGACCACAGTAGACGCCATCTGTGTACTGACTAGCCCCAGCCTCACAAAGCTGCTGCTGCACTCCCCACTGCAGAAACAGTTCCAAGTCTCTAAAGGGGGCCAGGAACTTGGACTGAAAAGGTCTGATCAACTCAGGACCATCAAGGAGTTAACCTAAGTGAAATCTAATCTCCAAGTCTCATTCTTGTTCCAAAGGGGCAGCTCTGCTTACTTTCCCAAGAACCTGCTTTCAGACCCAGACTGATTGCAAACAACCTCTCCAGTGTTGAAGTTTTACTTCAGATGTAATTTAACTTGGTTAAGTGTCCACCAGGAAAGGTGTGAGACACAGTCTGAGGTCTCATCCGGCTGCCACGTGTAGAACATTTCGTTTAATATCTCTGCTTACAGAAATGCAGTCATGGCTGACAGGTGCCATGGTTGCTGCTATTACTGCGCAGTAGAAAATGGGGGAAGGATGTGACACATATAAACAGATATATAAACAGACCTCAAACAGATGAGATGCTTGTCTTCAGAAAAAAATAAATTGGTGCAGTGAGGTCCCGTTTTATACTTGGAAGGTTGGCACAGCCCTGAAGCTTGGTGATCTTCAGGATGGACACCCTCACCTGGTTTTCAGAGCTGGGCTCTCTGGGAAGGGTCATTTGGCATATCTTCTCAGTATCACTAGAGAACATGGATGAGACACTTCCGTCTGTGATTGCACAACTTGCCAGTGTGTGCATGTCCACATAGAGGCAACCCCCAAACTGTTGGCTCTCAGGCACTGTCCACCTCTTAATGCCAGGACTCTCAGTAGCCTGGACTTAACAAGTAGGCAAGGCTGTCCAGCCAGTGAGCACCAAGAATATGCATATCCCAGCCTCTTCAGGGATGTGTCACCATTCCTAGACTCTTACGAGGATGCTTGGCATTGACCTGAGCATTCATCATTGCAAATTTTTCTTTTTGCAAAATTTATTTCATTGCAAAAATAATTACAAATACAAAGTGGTGAACAGAAGTACTAGAGAAAGTTCTAAGATATGGTTGCCTAGAAGTTTTTTTATTTTTATTTTTTATAATTGTTTTATAACTGGAGTTTCTAAAATAGCTATATGTATAGTTGAGATGTGTTTGAAGAACTCTCTGCTTGCTCATACACCATGGGGTTATAGGAAAACCTGAAAAACTTACCAACCAAGTTCTCCCAGGTGTGAGGTGGTTGGGGCACACTCAGGGCTTTCTCAGAGGCCTGCCATGGCGGTACGACACTGGCTAAGTGTAGTCAAGGACTTCTGAAGAAAGGCTACTGTTGAGACAGGACTTTCTGCCTGTGGGGTGGTACAAATCTTCATTTCCCACTGAGTGCATTTGGGTACAGACTTCTGTTCCCATGTTTATTTCATCCTAACTGGTGCTAGTCAGCACACAGCCTCATTGGTGGGCAGGAAGTCAGTGTGACAGTCAGCCCTGGTTGAACGGTCAGTGACAGGTTGGCCTCCAGCTCTGTAATTGTAACAACAGCATAAAACCTGGAGAAAAAGTGTAGACAGATCATTGTATCAAGCAGTTCTCAGCTTGCGAGGAGGATTTTCCTGAAGAATAGCTTGTTCCTGCTCTATAACCACATGATGTAGAAGGCAAGAACTGGGCTGCTGAAGACAGGCAGTCTTAGTTCAAATCCTAGCTCTAGTTCTTGTTAGCTACTAGCTATGGGGAGGTTTCTTACTCATTTCTGTCTGACTTGCCCAATCAGTATAATGTCACGTGTGCTTGTCTCCTTGTGTGCAAATAAGACATAAAATAAGGCAACACATGCCACAATTAGTGTTCTTCATGAGGCTTTCTGCAAACGAATTTGCAGGGGCATGGAAACTGGAATATATCCCCAAGAGATGGTTAAATTTCAGCATGAGATTAAACCATACATATCATGTAATGTGTATTTCACATAGCTGGGGGAAAATTATGAATGTTCCCCAAAACTGAAACTATTTAAGGGAAAGATATGTTTACACTGATTTGAAATTTTTATAGTGCAGACATTGCTCCAGCTGTCACACAGGTTTCTGTAATTACTGATATATGTTGTGTATCATTGTGGGCAGGGAAGGACTAATGTAACTAGTTAGAGACAGACCAACTAGCTCAGACTCTTAAATGGCTCTGAAGCGTGATTCCTGTCCAGGATCCTCACACCAAAGCACACAGCTTCCGTATATGTAGCAGTTTTGGTGAACAAGCTTTGGATGAGGAAGGATGCATAAGAGTTGTCATCCTCAGAAATGTACCCAACTTCACCTCAGTCTCCCATATGCCGAGTCTGAGGACTTCAGAGCTCATGGAGTGTGGAAGAGCTAGGTGTCAGAATGCAGTTCACATCCTGAGAGCATTCATAATGGCCCTGCAGGACCTGGAGCCCACTTCACTAGTGCTCTCCCAGAAAGAGCAGGTGCAGATAGGTACTCCCAGGGGAAGGCAGAGCTTCCACTGGTGGCAGAGGAAGACAGCTGTGATTCCGGAGTAGGGCGACATCTTTCCCAAAGAAGAAAGACCAGGAAATCAGTGAGCAACAGGTTGACCTGGGGTATATGTAAGGAAAATATAGACATGCAAGTCCTTAGGAAATTCTCCGGACTATTCAAGCCGTTTGTTTTATCTTTCTGATACTGATACTGAATAAATTATTTATGTCTATAAAACAGATATGCTGAATTCAGAGAAACCTCATTTTAAAATATGACTGTTAATTTGAAAATCAGTGCATGTAAATTTTCTAATCTATAGGATAGAATTGTGCTCACATCAAAGGAGACTTAGAGATTTGCCGGAGGACACCAGCAGAATTGAGCAGTTCTTGAGTCGGGAGTGAGGATTGAAATTAATAAA